GGGATGGAGTACAGAATCACAATTGGAGCAGCCGCAAGTTATCTCTAAAGTAAAATAAAGCTTTTCAACTTCTCAACAAAAAGGCAATAACAAAAAATTTGACAAACAAAACAATTTTAGTTTCCTTTTTGGAAAAGGAAACTACTTGACTTGGGAACCACTTTTTTTTTCCTTTGTATTATTATTTAGTTATATAAGTAGATTATTTTTTAACCTTAATTCTTTTTTTAAAAAAATATTTTATTTAGTTTTTCTCTATCAAAACATATAAAAATTTTAAATTCCATTTAAAAAATCTAAATGTTACTTAAATTGTGGGCTTTTTTTAATTAGATCTAAAAATGTTTTTGTTATGTTTTGGTTTTTGATTTATAAAATTATTTTAGAATATGATCATTCATAAAACGTTTTATAATAATCAGGCTTAAGGGAGAGAAAGGGAGCTTAGGCTCAGGCCAGGAAAAAAAAAAAAAGAGACAAATAAACCCTAGCAGAAGAAGGAGGAGAAGGAGGAAGAAGGGGACATGTCGCACAGTGTTGGGCGCGTGGCGCGCGCTGCCGAAGAAGAATAAGAACAAGAACAAGAATAAGAACAAGAAGAAGAAGTACAAGAAGAAGAAGAAAAAGAAAAAGAAAAGAAAAAGAGGAAGGAGATAGAGAAGGAGGAAGGAAGTAGGGCGAGCGGTGCGCGCGGCTGAAAAGGCAAAATCACACGGCAGTGCTGAGCGCACATCGTGGCGCCCGGTGTTGAGCGCACATCGCAGTGCGCGGGGTTGGGCGCGCGACGCGTGGCGCACGGTGCTGGACGCGTGACGCATGGTGCTGGGTGCACGGCACCCGTCGCGCTGTGCTTGGCGCGTTGTGCCGAGCGTGCGACGCGTGGCGCACGGTGCCGGACTCGCGACGTGTGGCGCACGGTGCCGGACGCGCAACGCATGGTGCTAGGTGCACGGCACCCGTCGCTCTGTGCTTGGCGCGTTGTGCCGAGCGTGCGACGCGTGGCGCACGGTGCCGGACGCGCAACGCATGGTGCTGGGTGCACGGCACCCGTCGCTCTGTGCTTGGCGCGTTGTGCCGAGCGTGCGACGCGTGGCGCACGGTGCCGGACGCGCAACGCATGGTGCTGGGTGCACGGCACCCGTCGCTCTGTGCTTGGCGCGTTGTGCCGAGCGTGCGACGCGTGGCGCACGGTGCCGGACTCGCGACGCGTGGCGCACGGTGCCGGACGGGCAACGCATGGTGCTGGGTGCACGGCACCCGTCGCTCTGTGCTTGGCGCATTGTGCCGAGCGTGCGACGCGTGGCGTACGGTGCTGGACTCGCGACACGTGGCGCACGGTGCCGGACTCGCGACGCATGGCGCACGGTGCCGGACTCGCGACGCGTGGCGCACGGTGCCGGACGCTCAACGCATGGTGCTGGGTGCACGGCACCCGTCGCTCTGTGCTTGGCGCATTGTGCCGAGCGTGCGACGCGTGGCGCACGGTGTCGGACTCGCGACGCGTGGCGCACGGTGCCGAACGCGCAACGCATGGTGTTGGGTGCACGGCGCGCGTCGCGCAGTGCTTGACGCCCGTCGTGCAGTGCTTGACGCGCAGTGCAAAATGCGCGACGCATGTTGCTGAGGAAGAAGAAGCAAAGTGCATGTTGGGTGGACTTGATCCACGTGAAGCAGACCACGACGCGTTGTTCTAGATCCGTTCGATGCTAAACATCAGAAAATCAGAGAGAGAGACCGAAACCGCACTCTTTCAGATATAAAGCCCGAATTCGACACCAATTGTGGTAAAGTTTCTTCTACTTTACATTTGGTTATTACTTTAAATTAAATTCTTAATCATGTGTATGAAAATTTTAGAAAATTGAGAATATGAAACTAAAAAGGGAGCTGACTGTATGGAACCAAAGTCGTGTGAAAGCTTTGCTATTTCTTCTTTCATTGGAGATCCTAGTAAGAATTAAGTTAGTTTTCATTCGGGGATGTCATATTTTCATAAAATGATTTATTGATTTCAAAATAATTAATTTAAAAGTTTGATGAATGATTTAAGTGTTATCCTAGAAGGCGTTTTGCAAAGTTTCATATGTATATGAGTAAGTGTGTATTGAGCGTCAGTGTTGTATAGAGTATATGTATAATAATATAGATACAGACATGTCGTGCATGAATGAATAGGTAAAGATGTCGTATATATAGGCTGCTATTTGTTAACGTATAGGATTCTATGTATAAAAAGTAGATGGATTCTAGGACATGTTTACTTATGTAGCTATATATATATGAGTATGTAATATGTTGATATATACAAAACTATATGAAAATATAAATAGATATATATA